TTTTTTGGACATGTTCAATCGTTCAAGGATTTTGGAAAACTATTACCTCTAATGAAACAGAAGGTTATTTATTACCTAAAGATGCCAGGGTAATTTTGTTGTGTTGCTTTAAGGGAATTGCACTTAAAACAGGCCTAGGAATTATAATTTATCTTCTGACAACTATAAACTTATCTATCTCAAACAACTAAGGAAACTTCAAAGTTCTTTTCAGTTTGGAATGGTACATTAGAAAATGGACAATGAATAATTGTCTTAATTATTGAGGAAGCTTAATGAGCTATAGGTAAAGATTGTATTTTTTAAAAAAAAATATCAAAATTTAGAATAAGCAATTTCAAGATGTTGTATGATCCCTGGCCTTTTGACTATGTTGGAACTGATATCTGGATTTGTTACTCTTTAGAGTCCCCCTGCCCCCAATGTGATCATATATATTGCTGCATTAAGAGTAAGTGTGGTAACGCTAGGAAGGGTTGCAACATTGCTGGTTTCTTAAAGGCCATAGATCATCTCATTCCCTTGATTGCTAAATAGGCCAGCATTCACATCTCATTCTGACCACACAAAATGTAATCTGAAAGTCTCAGAAGCTTATAGGAAGCTGCAATGGCCACTTTGCAGTCCAGAGTTGGATCCAGGTCTTAAGAAAAACAGGAGATGCTCTATAACCTCACCCTTAGCTTCACTTCTGCAACCTGGTTGACCTCCATTATTTGTGTTTGTGATGTTTTCTGGACAATTGAAAAGCATGTATATTTTGTTTCTTCACACAGCAAAAGGGCCAGCAGTCATTGGTAACTTCTGAAAAGCACATATATTGATGTTTGAGGAAGCAATTGACAGGTACCATACTTCCAGTTAGAAACAGAGGAGAAATGAAATTCAGTTCACACTTAAATGTGAACTTACCTAATCCACACTTCGCAAAACGATATGTAAACTGAAACACTGACATCCTTTGAAATTTGCACTTCTCTGAATTTTGCAGTTCAGTTCTCTATCCAAGCAATGTGTACAAACATGCATATTCTTGGCTCAAGTTTGCATAACAATCCATATATTGTTGAACAAACAAAAGCATTATATTAGGGGGAATTATGTAGATGAAATATGTATCCTAGGAGAAATTTGCACTAAAAGGCTGACAAATTTTCACGGGGGCATAACAAAAACCACAAAGGAGTACAGAAATATGGACTGAACTTTAAGACTGAAAAAGCGAAAAGACAAAGCAGACAAATTTGTCTGTTTCTTTGCAAAATCTGTGTTTTCAGGTCCTCACAGTTCCACATGTAGGGAGCCAATAGCAAAGCAACTAAGAGCTACGGCATGGTGATTCAGGGAGAAAAAGAATGCCCATTTGTACCCTCAAGCCTCAGAAGGAGGCAGTGGACAGAGGGTGCTGCAGCCGGTGCCATGAAAATGTGTGGTTACAGACTGCATAGTTGCAGTACCATGTGGTATCAGTTGCATGCTTCCACATCAAGGCCCTTCAGCAGCTTCAAGCTTACTTTTCTACAGCAGCACCATGACAATCCTGCCTCGAAGGTTGATGGCTCTCTTGCCATTTCTTCTCATATGATCTGTGACAAATCACTGTCCAGCTTCTGCAGAGGGGGTGGAATTCTACATTGTGAGATTCTCTCTCCCTCTGTGCCTCCTGTGTCACTTCTTCCTTTAAAGAAAGATCATAGGTGTATTCGCCATTGAGGTTCTTTTGCAAAAGCAGTTCCTGTTTTTCTTTTTTCTTTTAATTAATATTTATTAAAATTTCAGAAAAAATAAAATCACATTAATAAACAAGAAAAATTTGAGAAGAAAAAAGAAAAATACACAATAGAAAATAGAAAATACAAAATACAAAAAGAGAAAAAGAGAAAAAAAAACAGTTAAAAACAATTCCGTCTTTTCATAACTTCTTTTACATTTACTTGTTTCCCGGACTTCCTCATACCTCCCTCTTTTGTATTCCAATTCCGGTTGTTAATCCAGCAATTTCTTTCCCTCCTTTTTAATCCCATCCTTAATCTTAATATATTATGACATTAGATTTTTACCTATTTAAAACCTATTTTTCCATTCTTTTAACCTTTTTAATCCTAATCCTTAATCTTAATATATTTATAACTTTAAAACCTATACAGCTAGAAGCCACTTAACTTCAATCCAACATCACTCTAACATTCATTAATTTTGCAATGTTTCTGTAAATAATCTTTGAATTTCTTCCAATCTTCTTCCACCGACTCTTCTCCCTGGTCACGGATTCTGCCAGTCATTTCCGCCAATTCCATGTAGTCCATCATTTTCATCTGCCATTCCTCCAGTGTGGGTAGCTCTTGTGTCTTCCAATACTTTGCGATAAGTATTCTTGCTGCTGTTGTAGCATACATAAAGAAAGTTCTATCCTTTTTTAACACCGATTGGCCGACTATGCCCAGAGCAGTTCCTGTTTTTCAAAGAGAGACACAGCCAGCCCGCTAGAAACCTTTCCACATACAGAAATCAAGCACCCAACAAAATAGGGCCCACCATATCACCCATGATTACAGTAAAATACAGCTAGTCCTCCTAGAAGATCTGAGGATTGTGTAGCTGCTGACTTGAGGATCACAGCAGACTTAGAGTTAATAGCATCTTTAACTTGACTTACCAATGCTTTAGGGACACGGGTGACACTGTGGTCTAAACCACAGAGCCTAGGGCTTGCCGATCAGAAGGTTGGCGGTTCGAATCCCCGCGGCAGGGTGAGCGCCTGTTGTTCGGTCCCAGCTCCTACCCACCTAGCAGTTTGAAAGCACGCCAAAATGCAAGTAGATAAATAGGTACCACTCCGGCAGGAAGGTAAACAGCATTTCCGTGCACTGCTCTGGTTTGCCAGAAGCGGCTTAGTCATGCTGGCCACATGACCCAGAAGCTGTCTGCAGACAAATGCCAGCTCCCTCGGCCTATAGAATGAGATGAGCGTGCAACCTAGAGTAATCTGTGACTGGACCTAACGGTCAGGGGTATCTTGACCTTTACCTTACCAATGCTTTAGCTAAGCTGGTTAAGACATTCTGCCATTGCCTAATCATGCCCATTAGGGAGACAGGAACAGGAGTGCCAGCTTGGCCCTGCGACTGTGAGGGGCCCGACACCGTGGGGCTATGCAGCCTGCATGGCCCTGGTACCAAAATTTGTGAGTGCCTGGGCCTTTTATGGGGAATTTTGTGGGTGCTTGGGTACCCAGGGACCCAGGGAGTTGACACCTATGGTCAGGAAGGTGCCTTATACCTGTCACTTTCTGCATGCGAAGGATTTGCCTTACCTGTTATCAGCACTCTGATGAATCTGTAAGATGCATTTCCCGTGTCACATATTTTACTACCCTCAGATTGCATTATTTCCTCTCTTTTTTCTCCTGGATGCCAAACAACAGCTCTCAACGCTGACTGTTGCTGCTGTTGTTTTTGGTAGTTATCCACCCGCTGTCCTTAAAATCTAAGCATTTTCCTGAGCTGCCATTTATGTCAATAATCTGTACCCTATGGCTGCCTCCTATTAGAATTTCATTATTCCCCATCTCTCTGTGCTTAAGTGTAATGAAGTGTGTAATTTCTCTGGAACCATTCACTGAGCCTCCAGGTGTAGATCTATTTCATATGGTCCACCTCTGTCACTGTGCTGTCGAACAGCACAGTTATTGTAGCCAAGCTATGCGGAGCGAGGAAACGAAACAGGATGGCAATGTTAGAAACCCCCTTGAGCATTTTTTGTCCCACACAATCTGTTCAGATCCACGCTGACACTGTTTCCTAGGCAGCACCTGCTCACGTATCATCTTAATGTTCCATCTTCTCGTAGCAATCCCCAGAAGTTATCATCTGAAATCATTTAACATAAACGAATGGCTTGCACTGTCTCCTTAAGTTACATCTGCTGGGGTGTCAGCTAATTAGTTTCAAGCTTGGAGTTTACTGTTTCTAATAACCACCACAACCAGTTGACAAAAAGCAAAAGAATGGGTGTAACCTTAGGGAAGGGGAGAGATGCAGCTTTCAAACTTCTGTTTACATAATAATGATGTTTTATTTTACCTGTGGAACAGATGTGTTTGTCTTAGATTTCTACATGAGCTGAAAGGAGAAAAAACATTAATGATCTTCAAAATCCACATTCAAATTGATTAATGATGCACTAAATGCATAATTCTTAATTCTGAGTGTCTCTCTTCCATACCAGGGTTATTGGAAACTCCCCAAACATAATTTGTGAATATATAATTATCAGCAAGAAAGTGCCACTTAAGATGCAGAAGGATGGTAGGAGATTCAGTTCTATCAAATATTCACCTGTTGAGTGGAATATTTTTTGGATCAAATTCCCTGATGAGATCAATTAATTATTGAGCACTTGGATTAAAGGTTGTTGGGTGTTTTTGTTTTTGTTTTAAATTTAATGCTTTGGTGTATCTTTCTAATGAAAGCATCAGTAAAAAAATAGTTTTGAAAAATGACAGGGAAAGGAAGGATTAAGCAGCAGTTTACTGTTCTCAATTTCAGTCTCCCACAGCTGCATTTCATTTTAAACAAAACCAAAGACCAGAAAATTGGTAGGAAGAATTGAGTAACTGCTCATCATGTGTAGTTTGGCCCATATGTAAATGGTTCACATGATGCAGTATGCCAAACTGTGTCTTGATGAGCAAAAATGTGGGTTTCCAGAAAGAGCTTGGAGCAGCTTTGCTCCTCTTGAGTTGTTGTTGTTGTTGTTTGCTCCCACACAACACTGCACTAAGAATGTTGTCCAAATCCAGACTAATGTTTGAGCTTCTTGACTACAGCTCATTGTTAAAGAGAATAGAGATTAACCATGAACCTCTCTAGTGTTATAGCAGTAAAACAACACAACAACAACAACCTCCCAGGTACAACAGTGTGAAAGGGATGTCAGAAACAGAAGCACTTCCATTATAATCAGTAAAACTAGCACAATAAACCTCACCTGAAAATCCATCTGTGTATAGCCCAGTTGGTTAGAGCATGGTGCTGATAATGCCAAGGTTGCAGGTTTGATCCTTCTAAAGGACAGCTGCATATTCGTGCATTGAGGGGGTTGAACTAGATGACCCTCAGAGTCCCTTCCAACTCCATGATTCTAAGTTCTATGTAACAGTTTTAAGACAGAGTGCAGAAGGTGTTAAGCCAATGTAATAGCATTAGACTATGCTTATTGCAAAATATATTTCAGTTAGGACTAAGGGCTACCGATACAGCAGCAGCCATGACAATCAAATCCCCTGACAGGTAAAGAGCAGAAGTAAAGAAAGAAAAAATATGATAGAAAAGCTGGAGCCTAATTTTAGGATACAAAGGATATGGGATATATAACGGCTATTACAGTGTATTACCTAGATGAAGTTCACCTTACCCAGCAATTCACTCGAGTTTGTAGGGCATTATGTTTTTAATACCTTGTGAATGCTGCACGAGCTAAGCACATAAAAGAGTTTACAAAAGGGAAAGATCACTTCTGAGAAATGACAATAAATTCTTTGAATGGACTCAATTCTATGGAACTTAGGGATCTTGCTTCCTCATAGTACCTGACCAAAGTCAAAGCTGTTGCTAAGCAACGCTAGTCCGCCTTTGCCCATGTTTGGTTTCCTGTACAAAGACCTCCTGCTGAAGATGTGTCCTTGCCAAATAGCACTAAATATAATGAACCAATGGCTCAGAGAATGAGACACTCACCCGCATGTGAACCCCATTTCACTTGGAGCAAGTGTGTGTGTGTGTGTGTGTGTGTGTGTGTGTAGGCTGATATCCAACAAGGCCTTGCCTTATTTTCCTGTAGCAATCCTGTTAATTTCAAAGGGTGGTATGCAATAAAATACGAGGGAGGGGTTAAGGAAAGTGTGGCATAGTAAGATTGAATATTTGGCCCTGGTCCCTATTTTCCAGGGACAGGCTTGGAATTATGAAAGGCACACACACCCTCCAGCTTCTGATTTGATCCTGGAATATCCCTATTTCCACCACTAATGCCACCGCTTCTGAGCTCAGGGAGGATGAGCCAGCGCTTGTCCCGAGAGATGGCAGGTGCAGCTATGCTGGCTTCAAATGAGCATCCCGTTGTCACCGCTGCTGGCCTCCTCCCTCAGGCAGCTCGTAGCAGCTTCTGGAGAGCAGGTGAGGAAGAGGAGACTGTGGCTGCTGAGGCCCAGCCCCATGTGATGTGCTGGCTCTGAGGGGCAGACTCCTGTGTCGCAATAGAGACAAGCTGAACAAAATAACACAACACTATGGCCAATAACAATGGCACCAAACACTCTTTATAGACTAATACAAATGATCAGAAATTGCAGCCAAAGTCTCTAAATCTTCTTCACCACTCGCGGTAACCGATCTGATCAGTGACTACAGTATCATATGAGCACTGATCCAGAGCATATCTTCTACAGCGTTTATATTTACTTACATGTCAGATTGGCTTGTTAAGAAATTGAACTGCAGCCTTCTCATATTAATTCTTACAAGTCTGGCTGATGAAGAGTTGATAAAGATTGCCTGATGAAGCATTGAACGAAACAGATTGGTTATCCGGAAACTATGTTCTGGTGATATTTGGTGACAGATTATGTATATATCAAACTTTTGCATTATTCTACCGTGACTGGTGAAGAAGATTTAGAGACTTTGGTTGCAGTTTCTGATCATTTGTATTAGTCTATAAATAGTGTTTCGTGCCATTGTTACTGGCCATTGTGTTGTGTTATTTTGTTCAGGCTCTGAGGAGCAAGCAGAGGGCAGAGGAAGAAAGGAGGAGAGAAGGAGGGGTACAAGGAGTCTTGATTTTTTAACAAATGCTTTGTGCGTCCACGTATAATCTTGCCTCTTTCTAAAATTTATATATTGGTGTGTGCTTTTCTTGTTGTAAACCCAACAAAGAATAAAACAAAATAAAACTGGGATTAAGGGGTTTTCTCAGCTGGCATGCACTCTTTTTCTGATAGGAAATGCTCTGTGGTCAGGAGGACAAAAAAGCAGGGATGAAGGAGGGTCAGTTTGGGGTATGTGAGAGAGAAATGTCTCTATTTCCATCTGAAGAATGTTGGAGGGTATGCAGCTACAGAGCTGTAATATATAAGGACAAGCCACTCATGATTGGTGCTCTTCAACTCTCATGTGCACAATCATCTCCTGTAGTCACAATCATCTGGGTGGCAGGAGATTGCTCCAAATGAGAAGAGAAGAAGCTGTTTCAAACAGTTATTGTGAAATCATTGCAAAGTATCCAGATGATCTTAATTCCAAAATGTAGATAAATTTCCACTCTCTCCCAAACTACCATGACCTTTTAGTGACCTTTTACTTCCCTAAACAGGGCTGCCTTCAGATATCTTCATAATGTCAGATAGTTGTTTATTTCTTTGACATCTGATGGGAGGGTGTTCCACAGGGTGGGCGCCACTACCGAGAAGGCCCTCTCACTGGTTCCCTGTAACTTCACTTCTTGCAGTGAGGGAATCACCAGAAGGCCCTCGGTGCTGGACCTCAGTATCTGGGTTGAACAATGGGGGTGGAGAGGCTCCTTCAGGTATACTGGACCGAGTCTGTTTAGGGCTTTAAAGGTCAGCACCAACACTTTGAATTGTGCTTGGAAACGTACTGGGAGCCAATGTAGGTCTTTCAAGACCGGTGTTATGTGGTCTCGGCAGCTGCTCCTCATGTGGATGATGTGCACAAAATGCTTGAATCATACATTTGGACATGAAATAATTCCACATAAAGGATATCTCTGCTAGTCACATGGATTGTGGCATCACCAAAGTCGCCTGTTCCTATACTTCTCATTCTCAGTCACAAAAAGTCACAAAAAATACTTTGCCTTATCCATGCTTACAAGCAGCTAGAAAAATAGGTTCATATCAAGATCTCACACCTAAATGGAAAATCCATGTGTCCACCGACGCATGGCAAAATATGCTAGCTGGGTAAAAATCCTACATTGTATTGTATAACAATACAATCTAGGGTGCTTCTGAGCAACTTTTATGGAGAGGCAAGAACTGCTATCAACCCCAGATTTTATTACTATAAGATGTTGCATCTTTTCTGTTCAGATGCAACAGAATACAACTGAAAAATTTCCAACAGTGCGTCGAGTCAGAATTGAACCTCTCTGTGTTTGATATGACCTACTTTCAAAAAACTGAGCATACAATTGTTGCCTTAAAATCCAAAACACCAGCATCTCCCATGTACATATATACCATATCATTCTCCACTAAGGGGCAAAATGCAACATACACCTCTAACTTCAACCCTGCACCTACTGAAGTCCTAAAGAAATTCCAAATTGTCTTGCAAATGAAGCAGGTGAACAGAAGCCTCTTTTGTGTAGGAACAATTCTTTTGAGAAATCGGAGGACTGACTTTGACAAAGCACTAGAAATTTCTACATGTCCTCAATACATTTCTGGAACACTCTCTCTATCTCTGGTGTATGCAAATATGAGAGCTTGGTTTCTTAACGCCCTGCATCTCATCATGCAAAACTGCATTTTACTATTTATTAATTTAAAATATTTATATCCCCTCTCTAACCATGTTTTCAAAGGATATGATCTGCTTCTCTGCTTCATGTGTAATAAAACAATATAAGGTGTGCCTAGGGCTATCGCATATGTAACCAGATACTGATGCATTTTTAGGTCTTCTAATATACCTGGAATAGTACCAGCCTTTCATTTTAAGGATCTATTTCTGCAAGCCAGTCGTTTCCCCCTCTAAAGCCCCATATGCCTCTATCCATTACTGATATATTGTCTCATTTTCCACAATGGAAAAATGAAAAATGACACACGCTGTGTTTTTGCTACACTTTCCTAATAGGTTAGGACTGACATTATCAACCCAGTCTGGCAAGTCATGGAACTTCTAATTAGCATGGTGCAACCAAACTGGTCATGCTCCCCTAAATCTTCTTCTGAGAGCAGAAGAAGGCTATTGCCCCCCATATCCTGCTTCCCGAGCTTCCCATAGGCATCTGGTTGGTCATTATAGGTAGCAGAATGTTTGACTGGATGGGCCTTTGGTCTGATGCAACAGGGCTCCTGTTATGTAACTGTTTGTGAAGGCAACTGTTTGATCTGACAACTACAATTAATCCTTACAAGTGGAAGCAATGTAAAACTTGAACCGCAAAAGAAGGCATGGGCAAGAAAAGGAAGCGAGTGTTAGAAGGCTTGAGCCAATTGGTGCCCTCCCAAACAGAAAACGGGCCTCAATATTACGTTTTATCACTTAGAATCTGAAAGTCATCTTACTTTCTTAGTGGTTCCCCCTGCAATGTCCCTGGGGATTAGAAGCATCAGCTTAAGGGTATACCATATAGCACACTGAAATGAGAGATAGAAAAGACATATTAGGGTGACTGGTTCATTTCTCTCCCATTGCAGGATTGATGGTTCTCTACAGTATATCCACTAGTACTTTCTCAAGTCTAGCTTTAATGGTTCCAGTTTCTACCATATCCTTTGGGAAACAATTCTACAGTCTAATATACTTCTCTGTAAAAGAAAAATAATAATAATAAAGTCCCGAAGGATACATTGGCAGGTACTGCTAATAGGGAAAGCAGAGAGGAAAGATTGAATTGAGTATGCCGCTCTCCTATTACAAAAGAGCCTTAAATAAACTAGTCACTAAGGGCCTATGTATTCCGGAGATACCAGTCCCAGTAGCCACACAGCTGTAGTCTTGCATTGCTCCAATGTAGCATTATCTATATTGAAGGTGTCCATTGTATAAATAGGTCCCAGTACTGATGAACCAACAGGTTTAAAAGAATTGCATTTCTCAAGGTTATTATGATATTAGATGTGAATCTTAGCTTTCCTAGCCATGAGAAATATCTGCACAGGGGTGGGAGAATGGGACAATGGGAAAACATATGGGAACATCTGCTCTTGAGTCAATTGATGAATTGCTCTACAAAACTCAGGCAAGAGCTCACAGCAAATCACTAGCTGAAAAATAGAAGAGATGGGAGATGATTGAGATAACACAATGAGGATGACGGGCA